TCCATGATCAGATGACTGCCAACATTCTCAGTAATGGCCTGGAGATGGACCCTTTCATCCTCAAAACTGGGGTTAAGCAAGCATGCAATATTGACACGATACAGGGACAGTAGGATAAGACTGAATATTTTTGTGCCTTCTTCTACTGCAGTTGACTACTGGGAAACAAAGAAAGGATTTAGCATTATGTAAACTCCCCAGGAAGCTCCACGTCTACCTCCACCCAGAACTGTTTGGGATCTAGCTCATAATATCCCTATGTTCAGTAACCAATAGACTTTCTTTTTTTCCTGACCCTCCCAGTTTAATTCAACCCAGAGCTATCTAACACCACCTTCTAGTTGTTTCATTCTTCCCCTCGTTTTCCTTTCAAATATGAAAAAAACCAGCTGAAACCGGACAATCCCTACACTCTCACATGAACTCACATAGGAAAACAACAGAAGACAAAAACACTGTATCACCTGTGGGTGAACACTTTTCTTAAAGTGATTCCTCTACATCTGACCTCTTCTGTCCTCATCCTCAAAGGAAACCTGCCCAACGCTTTCAACAGTCAAGCCTGGGATCTTAAATTCATAACTCTGCTAGATACGAAGGAAACCTGCCCAATGCTTTCAACAGTCAAGCCTGGGAGCTTAAATTCATAACTCTGCTAATTACTAAAAAATATGGACTGAACAGGGACAGTGGATGGCTTATACATAATCTGTTACCCACCGAACCATCCTTTTTGTCCTATGGCAGCAGAATTATTTCTGGGCCACTCTGCTTTGAATGATCTCTTAGAATATGGTCTAACTTCTTATGACAAACAACCTATTCCATCTTGTATTTTGCTGTGACTCTAAGAGTACCTTTCCAAGATGTGAAGAAGAGCTCTGTGTAGCTTGAAAGCTTGCCTCGCTCATCAACAGAAGTTGGTCCAATAAAAGCTAGTCCCTCACCCATCTTATCTTGTTAATATCCTGGAACTAGGGCTACAGCTACACTGTGTACGTCAGTATTTGAAAAACATACATGTGCCTGACAGTCGGCTGGGTGAGACCACACAGGAAAGGTTGCATTTGTTTGCATTTTCTTTGAGTGTCGTGAAGATGCTCCAATTTAATGAAAAATGTTGCTTGTAAAACGTTAGCTCTTTGGTGCTCAAAAATAGGACCATTTTGGTGCCTGCTGTGCAGAACTTATTATGGAACGATAAAGTACTTTTGAAATTAGGTAGCAGGAGCAAACAAACAAGCTCAACTTGAACTAGCAAAAAAGGTCATTCAAATCCTGGTGCCAAACCAATGAGGACAACACATTCTTCAGAGTCACTTAACAAGGTAGCAATGAGATCACTTCTGTACAAGGGACATAGGGATTCATTTGCAGATGTAATATTGATAAGTCCTGGTTTTATGCCACCTCAGAGAGATGGAGCTCACTAGGCTCCCAGCTGTGTCCTGAAGAACCTCCCTTCCCCCAAAGTCCAGTTGGGTTTTGGAGTCAGTATGACTTGCTAAGCACAGGGCACAGCAGAAGATTAGCTGAAACTGACGAAGGATGTGTGGAATGAATCAGCATTAAAGTCTACTTTAAAAGGCACCATGACTTGGAATCTGTGGTCTGTTGGGAGTTTTTCTTCTCTTGCTGCTTTTTGTTCGTGTGCATTTGAGAATGTAGAGTCTGGATATGGTATGTTGCCTGAAGTCAGAGTTGGAAGGGAATAGTGCGAAAGTGGTAGTGGTGTCTCAAGGGCAATGGATTGATTGTATAGTCCTTTTTCAAAATCTCCCTATTTTCAAATGCATAGCAGAAAAGTCAGAGGAGAAAACAGACACAAAATCTATTGCTGCTGAGTCAGGCTGTTTTTTATGTTCATGTGCAGCAGCCATGGCTGAAGCTAGATGAGCAATTTTGCTGTTCCTTGCTCTTGTCACCAGGGGGCATGCCTGAAGTCAGTTGCACAGGCAGCAAGTCAGAGTGCAGTGGTGAGAATGAGGCGGGAAAATGGGATGCTGCAGTACAGTTTCTGAAAGCAGGGGATGGAGCTGAACATTGCATGGGCGACACAGGGCGTGTGTATGAGTACATGTGAAGTTCCAGAGGCTCTTAAATCTCTGTGTGGCAATGAGAGACACAATGGGAGATAACCCCCCCATCTAATGCAAAACAATCATCACATGAGCAAAGAAAGCAGCTTGAAGGGGTGAGTGGGATTCATCATTTTTATATCTAGCAAATTTCCCATTGCTTTGGTTTCAGACCTCAGTAACTGTTGTGCAAACAGAGCTGGCGAGCAACAATAGTGATTTCCCTGCAATGGAGGATGTGTCCTTCCAAAGTGCTGTCCAGACTCTGTATAAACACAAAAAGCTCTTCATCCACCATATCTCACCCAGAAATGCAGTTATCTCTGGATTGGAGCCCAGCAGCTGTTTGCCAGCATACAACATTATAGCTCACAAACTTTGAGCACAGGAAGAGAACAATGTATGTTGCGATGGATCTAAATCACAGAGTTTGCATCCAAAGTGGAATTTTTCCAGTGTCCAACTATGTCCCAAACTGAAGTGGGGTTTGGGCCATACTGGTTTGACCAGTCAGGGTCTGATTTGAATCTCAGTGTCTCCCACCTCTGCTGGCATTTGCATCTGAGGTACCAGTTCAGGTCCATTGCTAGCATATCGAACAGGTTTTACAGCAAAAATCACTATGAGGCCATTTAATTTCCTTTTAAAAAATGGTTTTGTGTGAATTTAGTGCCATAGAGCCCGAAGGCCTCTGTCAGCAGGCTAGACATAGCTTGAGTAGAAGCAGCACAGCAAGCCTGTCCCTCAGTGTTTTACCCTGAACTGCAAAGGCCACCTCTAAAGGCCCTTTCACTCCTTGGCCTCCTTACTCAGATGGCCAGCTAGGGTAATCGTGATGGCTGTCCTGTGATGTAGACATCTGCACACCAGGAACTAATGGAGATGGAACAGCCATTAGCTGGTGACAAGTTCCAGTCCACACTGAACTGGGTTGGATCTGGACCAGTGAAGTGTGTTAAAAAGACATCTTTTTTTCTACTGAAGTTTTGCTGTTGACTTTAGTAGGGCCAGTAATTCATCCACAGACTGCATAGCCGGCCTGAGCTCTTCACGCTCCACTGCCATAAGATTGGTAATAGCACCAAGAGTGTGCAGTAGGGAGGTAAACTTGGTTCCAAAATGGAGCACAGACCAACAGATTTTAGTGTGAAGTTGCTAAGGGCTCATGCACATATATTACAAATTTAGTTTTCTTTTCACTGGGGAAGAGGAAATTCTCTATTACAGGGGGGAGGGGGAAGGGAAAAGTGCCAACAGATGTATCAGCCAGAGCCCAAAAGAGACAGACAATCCCACTCAGTTGTTAAAATGTTTTCACCAGACTTATTACTGCAGCTGCCTCAGCTGTTTGGCTTTCTCTGTTTTTTAATTGTATGTCACTGAAGAAGCAAGAGAGAGACCATTCCAGCGTTATATTGGGTGTATTATAATATGCAAGGACAAAAGATGGATTTTAATGACCTGTCGTAGCAGGAGAAAGGACATGGCTCCTGGTTTGCTTTTTAAAAATTCATTTATTTTAGGTCTCAATTTGAAGCTTTTTAGTAAAATAAAAATAATAATAAAAAAGCACAATAGACAAGACCGGAACATTGACTGTCTCCCTTCCTGCCCCAGATGTAACTGATGAAACATTTACACCCAGCGTGTATTGGCAGGGGAGGGCAGGAGTGGAAATGACAGCTCCTGCTGTTCTTGTTATATTGTATTTTAATTAAAAAACTCTAAAAGTTTCATAAATCAAATGCCTTTAACATCTGTTTGAAATGTTTTGAAATACTTTTATTAAAGCACAGAGTTCCCACGTGGCTGTCATTTCAGGAATGTCCTCAACGGGCTCTCTTTCTCCTTAATTAAAGAAATATCCACACCCATGCCAGTAAGAAAGTTCAGGGGAAAGGAGTTTGAGAGGGAGTGAGGTGTGTCAGTGCTGGTGTGGAACTAGGATTGTTATCCATTGGTGAGACGGGAAGAATAGATCCCAGGCTAGGTGGGGACTTGAGAGACTCAGCTGCGATTGCCTGCTCTCTCACAGATTTCCTGGATGATCTTGGGCAAATCATTTAGGGAATGTTTATACGGCCCATGGCAGCGAGCCTCCCAGCCGGGCCCAAGAGATCTCGATTGTGTCCTTAGGCTTCAGAGCCTGAGCTCCAGAGTAAGCTGGGTATTTTCAAAGAGTGTTTTTGGAGCTATTTTTAGAGTGCTAGCACAATCCCGCAAGCCCAAGCTGCTCGACCAGGTCTGATTAGTTTCCTATGTTTAAAATGGGGATAATAGCACTGCCCTAGCTTTCAGGCATGCTGTGATGATTCATCTATTAAGTTTGTGCGGTGCTCAGATACTATGGTAATGGCCACCACCTAAAACAGCTAAGTATAATTCTTCTTGAGATTGCTTTGAGGCCATCAAGTAGAGAAATCAGTTATTGCCGAGAAGGCACTCAAGTGTTTATATAGATCCAGGGCAATCCCATCTGTGTGTTGGGAGTGCTCGGTGCCTCCATTCACCTAGGAGTGCTCAGTGGAGGAATACACATTGCTATATAAAGCCTTAGTGTAGTCAAACAAACAGGGTCAATATTGTGAAACTGACTCATATGAGGAATATTCTTGTGTCTGAGAGAAGCCAAGTGAGGGAACAAACTGAAATAAAAAGCAAATGATTATTGGTTGCTAATTTTTTTCCTTTGTAATAACTTGCAATTTGCTCATCATTTTAAAATTATTTAATTGAATTTGTCATGCGTTTAACCTTTAACTATGGTAGTACAAGACTGAGTGGAAATACAAGTATGGAAGTACAAGCCTAAGTAACATTTATTCCTAATCACTTTTCTGGCCTGAAGAATATTTGAACCCTGCAATGAAAAGTATGAAATCTTTCAGGTAGTAATCTTACTGAGTGGCTTTTCTATTTTAGAGCTTGCAGCTGAACACAGCAACCGCACGAGAGCAACCTGCTAGCACGGTCAGAGCCAGTGGTGAGATCGTCTGACAACAGCACAGCAGAATCTGAACATTCAGCAGCCAAAGCAGATACCAAACAAATGTTGCCAACAACATGAGACTGTCTCTGGGCTCAGATGGATCAGACAGCAGGTCTGATCTGGCCCAGCACTCAGGATAAGGACTAAGAACACAGAGCAGTGAAAAAAGAGGGATGCTGCTGAGTTGCTGGGGGAGGGAGGAAGTTGGCAGCGACCCATCGTTGTTTGCAATATAGAGAGGATAAGAATATTTGGAGGAAGCTGGTGGCCTGTGGAAGCAGGGGGAGGCAAACCCCAACACACTGTTCCAGTTTTCTCTCTGGGCTGAGACTCTTCTGTTGCCTCCTCTTTTGTCCCTCTCTGAGGGTTGTGAAGACCACTGGCCACGAAGCGCTTCGCATATCCTAGGACAGCTGCCCTCACATGAGGTCTAAAAGGATGAGCGGCAGTTTAACACTGGCTGGGGCCCTTTGGGCTTTCCTATCCTTTCTCACAGCGGTTGCTAGCTCAGCCAGCTACTTTATGCCCTATTGGCTCCTTGGTTCTCAGCTGGGGAAGCCGGTTTCATTCGGCACTTTCCGCCGGTGCACATACCCAGCTCGGACAGAGGAGAGGCACCTGGTGATGGTTGAAGAGTGTGGGAGGTATGCCAGTTTCAGGGCCATCCCCAGCTTATCCTGGCAAATCTGCACGGTAGTGATGGGCATTGGCTGTGCCTTGCTGCTCCTGGTGGCGCTAGCAGCTGTCCTGGGTTGCTGTGTGGAAGAGCTCATCTCTCGGATGATGGGACGCTTCATGGGGACAGCCCAGTTTGTAGGAGGTAATGGGAATTGTATGCATTATGCTGTATACCAGAGTGGCTTCAGGTTGCTGATTAGCAGATGCTAAAACCGTACGGTGATCTTCAGAGCACTGCTCAGGAAAGCAAAGCTCCATTGATCTGGAAACATCTGTGGTAAAGATGAGAAGCAAATCTCGGTAGCATGAATACAATATTTATTCTAATACTTGATTCTGTGTAATGTATAGTCTTTAATTTCCCATAGGCGCTTCATAAATGTCATGTCTGAGACATTCTCTGTACATTAAATGTTCTGCAGTGTCACTAGGCCCAGAGCTGTAACATTCCCCCAAAGCCAGAAATGTCTGTGGGAAAACTTTGTCTGCTTCAGCTGCTTGTTCTTTATGCTTCATACATGCCCCCTGATGACAGTCACTGCAGCACTTCCTTCCACGATTGTCTTTACCTCCCCTGTTAGCAAGCCAGGGAGGAGACACGATGGGCGTAATCGGGGATGTTAAAGGAGGCAACTGCCCTGGGGCCTCGTGATTCAAAATTTCTGCCTGAGCACTGTGTCTCTTGCTCCGGGCAGCACTGAGGGCTGCCAGGGGGAGGCACGGCATTCTCTGGGTGCCTAGTCCCAGCCTCCCCTTCTGCCAGAGGCTCTGCTCCTTCTGGGGGTGTGGAGCAGGGCCCCCTCCTCTTGCCCAGGGGCCTGTGAGGCTTTCAACCCTGCTGTCTCTTCCAGAATGAGGGGCATGTGGGCTTTCTGAATGGCAAGTTGCAGCATGGCAAGTCAGGATGTGATCCCACACCAGCACAGCAGCATCCTGTCTGGACTAGAGAGGTTAAATACCTGTTAATTGAATAGTCGATTAACCTCACGAATTCTTATTGGTTAGTTGACTATTCTATAGTCCCTGGCGGTGAGGCTGGCAGCTAGTGCATTCCAGCCATGATCCCGGGGATCCCCCTGTTTAAAAACTGGCTCCCCTTGCGGACTGGCTGCCTGCCACCCTGCGCTGCTGCCTCTGATACAGAGGCAGCAGTGTGGGGTGGTAGCAGCCTCTGTCCAGGGTAGGGGGGGTCTGAGCTCCCCAACCTGGCATGAGCTGGAACTGAGCTGGGCTGCATGTCTGCCTGGCTCCTAATATGCTTTAAATGCAGAGCTGCAGCGGGGTAGTTCCCAGACCCAGTGCAAGCCGGGACTGAGCCGGGCTGCTGACCAGACTGCTAAAAAAATTCATTGGCAAGGGGCAGGAGGGAAATGTGTGCAGTCTATAGCATTAACCTATAAACTTTTGCATCCCTAGTCTGGACTCTGCTACTGAGCAGTGAAAGTCAGGGAGTGCAGCTTGGAGTACGGCTTTCAGCGGAAGTGCACCAAGCCATATGTTGGCTCTTCTGCTAGTGTCTGCAAGGGACATTACTGTGCAGGCTCAGGAATTGTGGATGCATATCAGGCAACTTGCTGTGTTGACTAGCCCTAGGGGAATGTCTTCGCTATGGGCTGGCTCGAAAGGCAGTGATCGATCCAGCGGGGGTCAAGTTATCATGTCTGTACTAGATGCGATCAATCAACCGCCAAACACTCTCCCATCATTTCTGGTTCTCCACCAAAATGAGGAGAGTAAGTAGCATTGACAGGAGAGTGTCAGCTGTCGATTTACCGCTGTGAAGACCTCAGGACGTTGACTTCAGCTACATTATTCACGTAGTTGAAATTGCATAACTTAGTTCGACGGCTGCAGTAATATAGATAAGGCTCAGAGTTCAGAAAGGCCGGCTCCCTCTCACTGTAGAAGAGACTTGCTTTGTGACAATCCCATGGCTATGTCTTCACTGCAAACAAGAGGGGCTGTCTTGTTGGGTGAGGGAGGGAGGTTGGAAGGGATCCCAGCAATTTGCAATACGGAAAGCATAATATTTGCAGGAGTGTTTTTTGAAAGAAAGGATAATTTTACCTTTGGGATGCTAGTGGCCTGTGAAAGCAGGCGGATGTGGGATGCTGGAGTTTTCCCCTCAGTGTAGCTAACTGGCTAGTGTTGACTTTGACGAGCTACACCAAAGTGAGAGTGACCTGTGATTTGACTCCATAAGGGTATTATATTGTGACAGTTCTCTGAGGCTAGCTATCTCTGTGAATAAATGTACCCCTTTTTGCAGTTATAGTGTAACTGTAGAGAAGTTCCCCTAATGTGGCTTTCAGCCCAGCATAACCCCCATTGCATTTTATCAGTCCTGCCCACATCTGCCTCCACAGTTCCGTTATCATCAGTATTGCTGTAATCTGGAATGTGTCAAGACTGGGGCCCTGTCAACCTGGGCACCATGCACACACAGCTAGGGTATGTCTAGATTACATGGCTCCATCGACGGAGCCATGTAAGCTAGTTTACCCGACATAGTCAATGAAGCAGAGATTTAAATAATCCCAGCTATTGACTATTGACCATTGACTATTGCAGTGGAATGAAGCTATTGTGAATGCTCATGGTTGCAGTTCATCAGGCAACCTGAGAATGTCCCCGAAGGGGTTTTGAACAGCAGAACCAAATCCTTGCATTGTATTTTATATTTCACAAGATGCCACTGCAGATATTTCAGCACTGTGGAGATCGTCTCTCAGCTGCCTGCTTGGCTGAGTAAGCAAGTTGAACATCTTGATTTAAATAGAGTTTTATATAGTCAATGTCTACATATCTAGATATAATTAATGGCAACAATCAGACTAAAGGACATGACAAACCTGCCCTGCAGTGCTTCTAATCCAAAGAGAGAAGACAAGAAAAGGGAAACTGAGGCACAGAGAGGGGAAGGGACTTGCCCAGCGGCAGGCAATCAGCCAGTGTCGCAGCTGGCAACAGAACTCAGGTCACCTTGGTGAATCAGGCACATTGTCTCCATAACTGTGTGCTATCAAATAGGGATGTAAACTCCCATTTAATCAGTTAACCAGTGAAATGTTTTGTTTAAATAGTTAACTGCTTACATGGGGGTAGCCAGGGGGCTGCTCCAGCCGGCTCCCCACCTATGGTGTGGCACAGCAGGCTGGCTAGGCTGCAGCGGCCCTCTGCTGAGGGTGGGGCCTGCTCTGGCTGGGCTGGAGTGCTCTCCACCCATGGCACATTGGGCCCGGCTGAGCTGGAGCAGCCCCGCCTGTAGCGCAGTGCAACAGACCTGGCCAGGCTGCTGGTTATCCATAACCCGTAGGCATTAACCAGTTAACCATCCACTTCCCTACTACCAAATGAATCCTGCCTCTATGTCTGCCCTGTCTTCCCCATCCTATGTTCAGTCCAAGTTGAACAGCTATTTGCTCCCTTCCTGTCAGCTTTCCATTCTCAGATCTAGGCCTTCTGCTCACCTCTGCCTTAATTCCCTCTCTAAGGCTGCCTGTCATGCCTTCTCTTTTCTTCCTCTTTGGGAGCGTTCCATGCCCTCGGCGTGCCTGTGGAGACGTGGTTGTAAATTACACGAGATGAATGATGGAAAATAAAAGGCAAAGCTTCCACCAGAATCAGTAGCATTGCTCCAGGCAGGAGGTCCCTTAGTGTACACATTACCTGCTGTGATTTGCCCATGTGCAGCTAATCCACCCTGAAATGTAGCTTTGCACCAGGGGAATTCAGTTTCTAGCATTCTGAGCTTTATTGGCACAAAACATGGCTTTGCATGTCTACACTAGGGGGTCGTACCACTGTGCCAGGGCTCAAAATCTCCACTGTAGCCAAAGCCTTAGTGTGTTGTTTGTACTTTCGTAATAAACTGGAACATCTTTATTTTTCCTCCCCCTTGTGATGCTACTAGTCTGTTTACACACGAGCCTGAAAAACCACAGAGCACACAGCAAACCTGCCTGCCACTGCTTCCGGCTCACAAAGGAGAGCTGTGAGCACAGAGAGTTATACGTATAAAACCCTGGTGTGATGGATTGGAAGCAGCCATCTAAGCAATGCAAACAGGAGTCCCAACCACACAGCTCAGCTGGGATTAGGGAGAAATTTAAAAAAGGAGCACTTGAGGAGATGAAAATAAATCCAATTTTTTGGGTGCGATCTTGCAATATGAAATCTAGGATTACACTAGGCTATCATCCATCCCCCCAGATTCTGATCTTCGTTATGTCAGTATCAATTCCAAAGAACACCACTGATAGCAGAATCTGGTTGTCAGATTGTAGGGAACTGGAGACTGGTTTTAAAAAATGCTGAGGACCTACAACTTTAGCTGAAGTCAGTGGGGTCTATAGCTGCTCAGCCCCTCTCAAAATCAGTTCACTGCCATCCCTTTGTATTAAGGTCTTGTCATATGGGTGTGCTGTGCCCAATGTAAATAACTTACTGCCATGAGTTTTCAGCAGCACAAGCCCCTGAAATTAGCACTGCGAAGGATGAAAAATGATTTCTGGGAAGCAATGTTCACTGTGGGTTGTTTTTAAAAACGTGATAAATATCGGAACGTTTGTAATTTCCTCCGTTTATGCTTTAGCTTGGCATGCAATGGGCTTGTCTAGGCAGCTGGTTTTGTTTGTTTGAGAGCGCTTCCAACTGAACACAACAAAGAGGCATTGTTTAAGGAAGCACATCCGGCCTTATTGGCAAGAAGTGGAAGGGAGATATTACAAGGATGAGGCCAGAATCCAAACATTTTAATTGACTGCTGTGCAAGTCCCTCCACCCTTCAGAGTTCTGTAATAGATGCATTTCTCTCTAGGATCTTCTCCCATCCAGGCAAGTCATCCTCAGCCACAGGCTACAAATTGCTTCCAACAGATCTTTGCGGAATTAGGCAACTTGTCCTCAGGTATCAGACTGTAACAGAAGGGTGTTGATTCAGTTCTTGACTGCTACAGAGTCTTTGTGTGGCATTGGGGAAGACGATTAATCTCCCTGCACTTTGGTTCCCCCTCTATAAAACAGGGACAATAATCATTCCTTAAGGTATTGTGGGGGAAAACACACTAATGTTAGTGAAGTGCTTGAATGCTACAGCAAAGGAGGCCAGATAAGCAGGTAGATTCATTAAGAAGCACCACA